CCAGGTTCTCCTCACTACCCAGGTGGCAGCCAAATTTGAGGTACTTGAACCTTGGGTCCCCATATCCCAATGGAAAAGGGCTCCTCCAGACTCTTGGGACTGCATTCCAGCCAGAGATCTAAAATTAAAACAGACTGGGGAGATTCCTCCCCAGAAGCCATCAACATCTTAAGGCAGACAGCTCTCCCAAGATACCAGATCAAGATCTTCATCTCCAATATGAAATCTTTATCCCTTTTATCTATTTGCTATTTGCTTTTCTCTCTATTAAAGCAGGGGAAGGCAGCACTATAATTGGAATTTCACAAACAATACTACTACAGGAAACTTGGCTAACTGCTCGCTTGGTCATGCCATGCCAACATCAGGATTTTACGAGAGAGACCCCCTTAGTTCACCCTACAAGTAATTTCACTGATATCCCACATGCCACTGTATGCCTAAAATTTCCCACAGGCCCCTTTTATAAAGTTAAAATGCTAAATCCACAGACCTTCATTCTTTGCCTCAATTTTACCTAAACCTGGGATGGGAAAATGAGATCTGTTGGTGGGGGCCGGGGGAATGTATATGAAAGACAATACAGAGCAGTCCGTGTTTATCAGACCATTTTTAGGCTTACGTTTGGGCCTCTATGTTCAGGTGGTCTTTCAATATGCAATAATACAGTATTTGAGTCTTGGTTGAATGATGCTAACACCAACGGGCCCACCATACATGCTAATACTTATGAAGGAGCCCTAGGCATATCTCCTAGCTACTACTCACATGTGGAGGTTTTGGCAATGGCCTCTAAGCTTGGCCCACTTGTCTTGACAGCAGGAGGGTGCAAGGGCTGTGTGAATGTGTGGTTGCTATATTTACCGTTTCACTGACCCTCCATCATACCTCAGAAACTCAACATTGGTCTGCTCCTTTGAATTTATACTATGACTAAGAAGTTTACCAGCAGATGGTTCCCTCTGGATAGGTGTCATTGGGACGGTCCCTTCTTCCTTTGCCTGAGAGAGTACAAACAAATATGTGGTTAAAAACTTGTCCTTGACCTTGGCAACCATCGCTGAGTCTACCGCTCAGGCCGTGGTTGGACAACAGATGTCCCTAAAGTCTCTCGTTAACGTGGTTTTCGGCAACGGAATTGCTTTCGGTTACTTGCTGGCTGAAAAAGGAGATGTCTGTACCTCAGTAAAGAACCTTCTACTGCCCCTGGATCAACTTCCAGTTGTGTAGACACTCAAATATGAGAGATTAGCAAACAGGCTACCTGGCTAGAACAGTTTGGTGCCTCATCAGTTACATGCTTTGACTTAGATGGTTCTGGTTGGATTGGCTCATGGGGACCCTGGCTAAGAGTTGATGTCAGCCTCTTGGCATTATTCTATTCACAGTCAGCATTATCATATCTGTCTGGGGCACTGAGTTCTCTCCGAGATCGTCCACGCATGTTTGCAGCCATCAGCACCTTGGATAGTCTCCCCATGCTTGAAGGAACAAGAAACAAGACGCACAACAGGGACACCTGGGTGGCTCAGTCTGTTAAGTGTCTTCCTTTGGTTCAGGTCATTGTCCCCGCTCAGCAGGGAGCCTGCTTCTCCCTCTCCTCCATGCTAGTGCGCTCTCTTGCTATCTCTGTTGCTGTCTCTCTCTCCCAAATAAATAAATTAAAAAAAGAAAAGATGCACAACAGACGAATGGCCAAAGCAATTCTTCGATGAATTTGACATCATAACCACGAACTTCACGTTACGGTAAGAACAATTTAACTCTGATAGTGACTGAGAGTGGTACCGGTACTGAATTTGCGGTCCATCTATTACCATGCAAGGATGACCAAATGGAAGTCATTGTTAAATTAATTCAGCAAGGAGGCCATTAGACAGAGGTGCCTCTCACCCTTGGCACCTATGTAAGCAAACCCAGATCTAAGCCTGTAACTACCTCAAGGTCACCAAAGTGCGACCTAAAGGCAACCGATTGCCAACAGCCACCAGGAGTTCAAGCTATAGCCAATCAATACCTTCCTTACTTTGCTTCCGACTCTTCTCTATTAGTCTTTCTCCAGCTCCCGTTGACAGAGTGCTTCTAACCACTCTGGTTTGGCGCTGCCCCGCTTGAATCGATTTTGTGCAAACAAATTCCTAAAAATTTAATATGCCTCAGTTTATCTTTTCCCAGACTTCATTGTGTCTCCACCCTCCAAATCTATGTTGTCTTTTATATTCCTGTCCCCCCTCATCCCGAGGCTTGGGAGTGAGCCTGGTCTTTCTCTGATCAGCACATTGAACCCTGCTCCATGTCCTGTGGATTCTACCCTCTCGTTGGCTCAATCTAGGACAGTGGCTAGCCTCGAAGGGGGTCTTTGTTAAAAATTCGTGAAAAGGGCCCCTTTGGGGCTTGTGAATTAGGGAAGGACGCCCCCTCTGAGTGGAAGCAGCTTTCAGGTGCATGCTTGCTTTATGCCTTGCTCCTTGGTGAGAAGAGGTATCCTCTCCTCCTGGGAGACAGCGGGGTGCATGACTCAGCCCCGGGCACAGGTGACATTTCGCCCCCAGATCGCCCCCTTGTGTGCTGGGAAGATGGCACACACGTACTGTGGCCCCACTTGAACCTTTTGCCTCCCCTCCGCTGCCTTCATGTTACTTGCACTGCAGTCTGTGGACTGCTTGCCAGTGTCCCCATCTTTCCCTCCTTTCTCCCTCCCTCGTGTTCTCAGGCTGCCTCCAGAACGCCTTGCACACCGGCTCCAGGCATTCCTCATGCCTTCAGGACAAATGCAGACTCTCAGCTCGGCGCCCAAGGCCCTGGTCCTGCTCATTCCTATTTCCTCTTCTGTCTCTTCCACGGGAAACCCTTCACCCCAGGCACTTCCCTGGCCTTGGCTAGGAAAGCCCCAGCTCCTTTCTCCTCCGGGCAACCCGGTTGCAGCCCTTCAAGACTTGTCTCAGTATTTTCCCTAGATGTCTCCTCCGACTGGAAGGCCTCCCTCTCGGCTCTTATCACACTGTGCTGCAGTCGAGCCTGGCTAACCATCAGGCACTGAGGACATAGTGCCTAGAACCTCCGATAGCTATAGGGGCTCATGGAAACATTTGAATTTACTTTTAAAATCAGAAGAGAAAACTAACATTCAAGGCTCAAAGAAGAGGCATTATCTTTCCTCACATCAGAGAAAATAAAGAAGTTTGAAGGGCCCACAAAAATCTATTAAATCTTTTTTTTTTTTTTTTTTTTTTTAACTAGAGGAAGATACACATGGAGCCCAAAGTCCATAGGTCTCATGAGAAGCCCCAGTGTGGTCCTGGTTACTACTGCTTGCCCATCTTGCAGGAGACCCTGTAAGGGAAGATCTGTTCCGAAGGGCGAATGAAACATCCCCACCCCCTTCCCCGGCTGTGTTAGGTAATTTTTTCCGGGATGAGAACAAAGCTTTATCTTCACAGGGTGGCTGTAAGCATCAGTTGGTGAGAATGCTTCATGACTACAGAGCTGGGAGCCATTTCTGGAGCCGAGCTGGATGTAGACAAGGAGAGAAGCACCACGCATTAAAAAAAATGGCTCCGGGTGGCTTTGATACCTTTCTTTTGGTAACAAATAAAATGATCCTACTTAAGGGCGCCTGGCTGGCTCATGGGTAGAGCAACTCTTGATGTGGGGGTTGTGAGTTCAATCCCCACGTTGGGTGTGGAGATTACTTAAAAATAAAATTCTTAAAAAAATATCCTATTTATACTGATAGAGAACCGGCAGGACACATAGCCAGAGTGTTGCACAGTGGCCAGTCCTGGTCATGGGTTACCTTTGTGATTTTTTTTTTTTTTTTAAACCCAGACTTAGGAGCATTTGAAGGTCAGGTCTGTATCTCATTTTCCCTTTAGGGCCGAGGATCGGCACAAGTGAAGGACATAATGAACCAAAGAATCCCCCATCTCATAGCACTGTCTGTCATCACCATCAGGGTCCCAGAGTTCCAAGAGGCTGCAAACAGCGCAGTTCCAACCTGAAAGAAAGGCCAGCAGTGCAGAGAACAGAGCTGGAGGGTTGAGACTCAGTTTACCCAAGGAGATATATATCTCTCCCCGGTCATCGTGGGAACATCTCCAAGTGGTGACAGACACCTTCAAGTACTTAAGAAATTTTAGTTCTGGGCCACTCTTCACGAACGCTTAGGGGATAGGCTTCCTGTGTTCCAAGTAATTTAATATTTCCCATGGCTCCCGAAGGGCGGGAATTGTTTCCTTTTTATAAGCCGTTGGTGCCTGTTAAGTCATAAACAGTATCAGTCTTGTCTGTCTCCTTCACCGCCCAGCGCCTACAAGCGTGTTGGCACACAGTAGGTGCTGGATGGGCGAACGAGTCTGTCCACGGTGACTTCTTTAACGGATCTCTGGGTACCTCCCCAGGGAAAAGCATAAAACCCACCTCGAGATAATAAGACCCTGCATGGCCTCCGCACCCTGTAATTTGGATCTCTAGGAATCGCCTTTGTTGTGGGCGACCAACCACAGGCAAAGCGAGCACCTGCTCCTTCAGCGGGTCCTCGCGGAAAGACCCGCGCCCCGCGCTGCTTCTCGGGATCCCTTCTCTCCGCTTCCTGGGAGCTGGGGGCCCCGAGGCATCCCGGGGCTTGCGGCCAGGGTGCGCCCCAGCACTTCGCAGCCGTGGTGGCGCGCGTCCCGAGGTGCTCGACACCCCGCCCGGGGTCAGCGTTCTTTGCCTCCTCGGGCCGGGCGGGGGTTTTGGGGGCGCGTCAAGGGCCTCGTCTGGCACCCCCAGGCCTCCGGGGGCCGGAGCCTGAGTCACCGCGGCGCACGCCCTCTCTTCCCGGCTTTCAGTCTGGGGCCCCCTCCGTCCCGCAGCGTCGGGCCCCGGCGCAGCCGGCTTTCCCCGAGTCTACTGCGCGCCCCCTCTTCCCGGCCTGAGTCTCTGCAGCTGCGGCCCCCGCCCCCGGCCGGCTCTCGGGGAGCTTCGCCCGTCCGCCCCTCCCATGGAGGAGCCCGAACTCCCGGCGCTCCGGGGCGGCTCCCGCGGGAGGGGGCGCGGCCGCCCCCGCGGCTCCACCCTCTCGGCGGGGCCGCGGCCATCTGGGGCCCCTGCCAGTCGCGTCCGTTCTGGGGCCCGCGCCGAGCTCGCGCGGGAGGAGGCAGCCCCGGCGGGGACCCTGGGCCTCCCACCGGGCGGTCTCCGGCCGGCACGGGTGCGGGGAGCCAGGCGCTGAGATGCCCCGAGGGGGCAGTGGCTGCGAGCCGAGCCCGGGTGGAAGCGCGTCGCAGAGGACGCGAGCGCCCCTCGCCACTTCAGTGACCCTTCAGGAGCCGGGACCGGAGCCCCGGAGGCGGCGGTACGGGCCCGCGAGGGCGGCGAGGTCTGTGCTCCCAACGTCCGGGGCGGGCGCCGGCTGCGGAGCCTCGGGCCAGCTCGTCGCCTCCCGCCTCTCCCCTCCAGCCCCCCGCGAGCTGGCAGGAGGAAATAGCGCGCGGCCCCTTTAAATTTACCCAGGAGCCCTTAAAGGAGCCCCAGGGGCCCCAGACAGGAGTCCCCACCCCGGTCCAGCCCGCGCCGCCGAGCGAGCAGCCAGCCGTCCGTGCGGCCAGCCGCCCCGTGCATGCGCCCCGCGCCCCGGGGCCCCGAGCACCGAGCGCCCCGCGCGGGCCGCCGCCGGCCCCGCGGCCCCGCGCCCCGCCGCCCCGGGGCCCCGCTCCGCAGCGCAGCGCATGGAGCCCGGCGGGGACCACCGGAGCCGGAGCGGCGGCGGCAGGGGCGGCCCCGGGCCAACAGCGGCCTCCGCACGGGGCCGACGGCTGCCGCCCGCCGGATCGAGCGGCGGCGCGGAACCCGAGGAGGACGACGGCGGTAAGAGCTGGGGCCGGCGGCTCGGGCGGGGGCCCCGGCATGGGGGGAGGGGAGGGCTGCGGCTCCGGGCTCCGGGCCCCTCTCCGCCGCCGAACAAAGGGGGGGACGCGGGCAGGGCGGCCGGGGGCGCCACCTGGCGGGCGCGGATCGCGCCTGCAGGGCCAGCAGGGGAGCCCCCCGCCCAGCTACCGGGGTCCGCCTGCGGGGCTCTGGCGGATTCCCTCCCCTTTAAAGGGCCCCGCGGCCCCCGTCTTCAAGGCCAGGCCTAGGGGTCTCCAAAGGGCCCGGCCGGACGCCACGGGGCGCGCGCTCTGGGCTGTTGGACTTGCGCCCCCGCCCCTTTCTCTTTCAGACTCCCAGGTGGTCTCCCTTATCCGGCTGTCTCTTAAAAGTCTGCCCAGACTGGGGGGTCCCTTTCGGGGGGCTTCCCCCAGAGGAGCTGAGCTGGGAACTCCGCTGCTTTAAGTCGGGCTGCTCCTCCCCTCCCGTGGCCTTGCTTACAGACAGGAAACCTTTTTCTCCAACACCCCCCACCCCGCCCCAACGTTCTTTCTAGGAAAGCGCTGGCTGGAGCCTCGGGGGGCCCACCGCTACCTTAACCCACCGCGGGTAGTTTTTAAAGGGATGGGCTCGCTCACAAAGGCAGATACCCCCTCCTGTCCGCGCGTTATCGCCTCCCTTCTTTTAAGAAAATTTTGCCACAATTTGTCAGCTATAGTAGGACCAGCCCGTCCTCCCCGCTCGCTCTCTGAGGACGCTGTGGTTCTTCATTCCCCTGTTGCCGGGTCCCCGCCTGAAGAAGACCCATGACGGTTCAGTCCGGGCTAGGGAGACTGCCCTCATCTCGGAGCTCCCCTCCCAGAAACTCCCCATCCCCTTTTGTTTTTAAAGAATCTCAGCTCCTCCCCTTTTTTTGGGCTCTTAAAGGGCCAATCCACCTTAGACTCGCTTAGATCCGACGCTGGAAGGATGCTTGGAGACCAGCTAGCTCTCCAGTGCCTTTTCAGACAAAGAGGCTGAGGCCCAGAGAGCCACATGACCTATCAAAGATCACAGAGCAAGTTACCAGTGAAACCATACGGGAACCGAGGTCTCTGACTTTGAAGCCAGTGCTTTTTTCTTTGGATCTACTTAAATCAAAACAAACAAAAAACCCACAATGGTGACAGGAGCCCTCTCTGGTCCTGTCTTTTGTTTCTCTGACCCTGAGATTCTCCAGTGGGAGCATGACCACACTTGTCCATTCAGCTTATGTGGCCAGGAAACCCTTTTCTAAATAAAACAGAGTCCAAACTGCAGGGAAGGTGGGGGACTGCTTGGGGGTGTCTGCCTTTTGGCAAAAGGGCACACCGCTGGCTTAGTGTGCTGTGCTTGGGCCTCTACAGTGCCTGCCCCCTGATTGCCGGGCAGTGGCTGGTTCTCTGAGAGAGCAAAAAATAAATCCCCAGTAAGACTTAATGGGCTTTGGTGGGTGGTGGCCACTCCCTTCCCTCGAGCCATCCCCTTGCAGGGTCATTGGCTCTCCCTAGAGTCTAGGGATGCCAGGGTCCTAGAAACTCCTTTCCCTGGAGGTGTTGACAGCTTTGTCTTGGGGATCCCTCCCCTCCCAGGGGTGCCTGTATTTGGGAAACTGGCCATGCTTAGCCCCCCCAAAGGGGACTCTCAGAAGGCTGCCTTTGAGGCATTATTGGAAAAAGGGAGAAGATGTTTGGGTGGGGCCCTCCTGGCTGGGGCCTCAGACGGGTGGGTCCCGTGTGCAGCCCTGGATGCAGACAGATGCCCCCTTTGTTCTGCCACTGCCCGCTCTGCTCCATAACCGCCCCGGCCTGCTGCTCTCCTGGCTTTTCCCTCACAGCTTGCCGCCAGAAAGGGGGCCATACAGAGCTGGCTGCCGCCTTGGCCTTCACTTTATTTTTTAAAAAGTCAGAGCTAGTCCCTCGGCAGTGCCCTGCATCCTTTTGTTCTTGGTCCTCTCTTAAAGGGTCCTCACTCTTTGTAAAGGGCCAATGTTTTGACTCCGGGGCTCTCCCACATCCCTTTTATTGCTGTTGCCATCCTTTTCCTGCGCCCCCCCCCCCCCCAACCCCCCCCCCCCCCCCCCCCCCTTCTCTGCAGAGTCCCAGCCCTGGGTTGTTTCCTGGATATCAGGCATTGAAAAACTGTCTCCCTTTCCCCCCTCCCCTTCAGGGCAAGATCTTCAGCTGGATGGGGGTGCCTTGGGGTCCTGGGGGAGTGCCCCCCTGCCCTCCTCCAGGGCCAGGGGCCCGGCATCTTCAGGGAGGAAATACTCAGACCACTGTGAGGCCCGGGCCTCGAGGCCTGGGAAGAGCCGCATCCCTGGCCGTGACCACCGGCGCTACTACCACGACCACTGGCGGCTGGAGTACCTGATGGACTTCAACCCCGCCCGGCACGGCATGGTGTGCATGGTGTGCGGCAGCTCCCTGGCCACGCTCAAGCTCAGCACCATCAAGCGGCACATCCGCCAGAAGCACCCCTACTCCCTGCACTGGAGTCCCCGGGAGAAGGAAGTCATCAGCAACAGCTGGGATGCCCACTTGGGGCTGGGGGCCTGTGGAGAGTCCGAGGGCCTGGGGGCCCAGGGGGCCGAGGAGGAGGAGGAAGAGGAAGAGGAAGAGGAGGAGGAGGGGGCTAGCCTGCAAGCTTGCGCACCCAAGGGCCCAGGTAACACAGGACCTGGAGAGGCAGGGGCCTGGGTGGTGGGCGGGGCCCCGTGGGGCCAGCCCTGGCTTCTCCGCCAACTAACTCACTTTCTCGAGGGAGTCACTGCTCTCTGTCGGGTGGGGGTCTGCTTATTGTCCTTCTTGTACAGTATTGGGGGCGGGACAGTGAGAGGAAGGGGTCTGCAGCATCTCTGATGGTCTTGGCCTTCTGTGGTTTTAGAAGGATCAAGGAGAGTGGAGGTGGGGGCATAGGTGGGGCTGGGGGGAAGGCTGGGAGTAGAGGGTGCTGGAAAGGTATGGCTTGACAGTGAAGTCCGGGGAAGGGGCTAGAATCTGGGTGTCAGGGCAGAGCGGGTAGAGTTTCCGGTCTGTGTGCAGGGCAGGAGCTGGAGGAGTTCAGGCCTCAGGAGAGAGGAAGAGCAGGGCCAAGGTCAGGCTGGGGCTCAGAGTATAGAGTGAGGGAGAGGCTAGTGGAGGACCTGGCTGTGGCAGTGGGGGGTGGGGCGCTCCCTGGAGGGCCAGCATCTCAGTTCCTTCCCTCCCTCCAACCCTTTCAGGCAAAGCCCCAGCTGGTGAGGGCAGCCGATGCCAGCGGCGAGGGGGCCCAGTGGCACCCCGGGCTCGGCGTCGGCGCCTCTCAGCCTCCCGGAGGGCCGGGGGCAGCAGGGGGCTGGGGGCCCGGCGGCTGGAGCGGAGGCTGAAGGAGTCCCTGCAGAACTGGTTCCGGGCAGAGTGTCTCATGGACTATGACCCTCGGGGGAACCGGCTGGTGTGCATGGCCTGTGGCCGGGCACTGCCCAGCCTGCACCTGGACGACATCCGAGCCCACGTGCTGGAGGTGCACCCCAGCTCCTTGGGGCTCAGCGGCCTGCAGCGCAGCACCCTGCTGCAAGCCTGGGGTGGCCAGCCCAAGACACTGTCTGAGCTCCCTCGGTCCCCACCAGGTGCGAGGCCCCTCCCAGGGCCAAGAGCCCCCCCATATTAGGGCTGCAAAGTGGGGTCTATGACCAAAACCGGGAGGGACTCCTGTCTACACCCACCCACCCCCAGACACAGACACATACATACACCCCACACCGGCTGGGGCCTCTAGATTGGGGCTGGGGTGAGGACCCCTCTGCGTGGGTAAGGGCAACCCTGCCACCAGGCTGAGCCCTTCTCCCTCACCCCTTCCCCAACAGACGATGACCTCGTCCCCCAGGACCTGACCAGAAAGAGCCGGGACCCCGCTCCCACTGCTGGAGCCCTCTCCTCTCAGGACCTCAGTCCCCCAGACGTAAAAAAGGAAGAGTCTGGCTGGGTCCCTGAGAGGCCCGGGCCCGCAGAGGAGGAGGAGGAGGAGGAAGGCGAGGGGGTGGGGGTCCCGGGCCGGTCGCCACGGGGCCGGGACCACCGTCGCCGCTATCAGGAGCGCTGGCGGCTGGAGTACCTCATGGAGTTGGACGGCGGCCGCCGCGGCCTGGTGTGCATGGTGTGCGGGGGCGCGCTGGCCTCGCTCAAGATGAGCACCATCAAGCGGCACATCCGCCAGCGCCACCCGGGCTCCACGCGCCTCAGCGGGCCCGTCAGGGCCCTCATCGCCCAGGAGTGGAGCCAGAAGGCCGCTCACCTGCTGGCCCTGGGGCTGCCCCGCCCCGAGCCCCCCAGGGACCCTGCCGCCCCCCGCACAGCCGAGGAGGGGGGTGGGGAAGAGGAGGAGGAGCCAGAGGAGGAGGAGTGGTGGGGTGAGCTGGCGCAGGGCCAGAGCAGGTGGCGCGGGAGAGTGGGGGCAGGGACCCGGGCCCGGCGGGGGCCGAGCGCTGGGAGTGCTTGGGTGGAAGGGGGTGGGGAGAGCGGAAGGCTGAAGGGCATAACCGGGAGGACGGGACCGGAGGCCCCAGGTGGGCGGCGGCGGAGCTGAGGCGCGAGACGCGGGCCGCTGGCCCTCTGCCGGCTCCAATGCGCTCCTTTGTCCCTTCCTAGGCGATGTCCCGCTTTCCCCAGGGGAGCCGTCGGAACGGCCCACCGAGGACGACGAGGATGACGAGGACGGCCAAGAGTCCGGAGGACTCGCCTTCCCGCCGCTGCCCCCGCCGCCGCCGCCGCCGCCGCCGCCGCCCCCGCCCCGCAGCCGAGAGCAGCGGCGGAACTACCAGCCGCGCTGGCGGGGCGAGTACCTGATGGACTACGACGGCAGCCGGCGCGGCCTGGTGTGCATGGTGTGCGGGGGCGCGCTGGCCACGCTCAAGGTCAGCACCATCAAGCGGCACATCCTGCAGGTGCACCCCTTCTCCATGGACTTCACGCCCGAGGAGCGCCAGACCATCCTGGAGGCCTACGAGGAGGCGGCGCTGCGCTGCTACGGCCACGAGGGCTTCGGGCCGCCGGCCCCGGCGCCGCGCGACGGCGGCGCGGACCTCAAAGCGGGCGCCGTCTGCCGGGCGTAGCGGGCTCGCCGGGCGGGCGGGGCGGGCGGGTCGGCTCCGCCCTGTGCTCCGCTGGCCCGCGGGCCCGGACTCCCTGCTTCCCGCGGCCCTGACCGCCGGCGCCGCTGCCCCCGCCCCGCTGGCCGGGCCGGGCGGAGATAGGACTCGGAGGGGGTCGCGGGTTCCGCTCGCAGCCCCGGAGCCCCCCCACCCCGGGCCGGTCGGTGCGCCGAGGAAAGCTCGGGGCCCCACGTTTCCCGAGAGGCCAGCGCGGCCGCCAAGCGTGTGCACGGAGGGCCTGCAGCCCTATCCCGCGCCAGGCCCGTGTGGGGGGTGCCGACTGTCAGTATTAGGGCCCCGAGGGCGGGGTAGGGGTTGGTGGGGGGCAGGAGGGCCGCGCCGGCCTCGGGGCCCAGCTCCCTGTAGCGTTGCACGCCGGCAGGCACGGCCCCCGGGCGGGGGGCGGCCGCTCCCGCGTCCTCATTGGTATTCGCGGCCGCTCGTAGGCCGGGACTGCGGACGAGGGCCTCCAGCGGAGGGCGGGGCGGCGGGGCTCGGGAGCCCGCCCGGGGCGGGGAGGACGCTTGGACCGCCGGCGGGCGGGCGGCCAGAGGCGGGGGCGGAGCTGGGCCGGGGCCCCGGCAGCTGCGCCAGCCTCCCGGGCGGGCTCTGGGGACAGCGCGCCCAGCGGCCCCTTCCGGCTCCCCTGCTCCTGCCGCGCCCTCCTGGACCCCGATCTTGTAAAGGGATTAGCACTTTTCTCCTTTGCTCCTCTCCTGCTCCGAAGACCTCCGTTTTCTCCTAAACCCAGTCAGGCGCTCCTGCTCTAGGGTCCCCGTTGGTCCGAGCCCGGGGCACTGGAGGTCCCGGCAGTTGGAGTTCTATTCCCGTCCCCTCCTTGTCCCCCTTCGTACATGGTGGACGTGCCACCCATTCTCAGCCCCCAAGGGCCTGGGGCCGGGCCTCGGCCTTCCTTTCTCTTCCCCGCGGCAGCGCCAGGCCCGGTGGGGCCGGGAAGGGGCCCCGCGATCTCCCAGGCAGGTCCGAGTGGGGCGTGTAGATTCATTCTCCTGTGGAGAACAGGTGGCCCCGAGATCAGGCCCTTTTTGCTCTTTGTATTTTATTTTGAAACTGTATTTAATGCTTTTATATGAAAGGGAGAGGGGCGGGGAGAGAGCTGTCCCAGTCACCCTTACGTGCAAATGTCTTATTTATTATACGTGTATCAGAGATAAGCTGTGAGGTGGTGGAGAAAGGACCGAAAGGAGGAAGGAGTGAGGACAGGTGGGGATGGGGGACCCTAAACATCCCGCACTAATGTGTGACTCTTAAGGCCTTTCTTGGAGTCTCTGGGCCTGTGTCTGCTCTTCACATGGCCAGGCCAGTTCTATTGGTCTTACAGCCTGAAAGTGGGGAGGTGGGACTTGCTGGGGAGGCCTGGAGGCAGAGGGGCCCCGGCACCTGGGGCCAGGGGCTCCCTCTGTGGGTGGGAACGCAAGACAGCAAAGAGGAAGCCCTTCCTCATCCCAGCACCCCCAGGCCAGAGCCCAAGGTTCAAGTGCCTCAGGCCCAGTCCCCTTGACTCATCCTGATTGGGAATTGGATTTTATACCATGGGTTTTATAGCATTTTTATATAATTCAAGATTGTCAGAGTCCGAATGACCTTGGAGATCCACCAGTCCCCACCCCCTCGGCCCCTTCTGCAGACAGGTAGTGAAGTTCGGAAACTGAAATGACACAGCCAGGTAGGAACAGTATAGAAATAGAATAAAAAGCTCAACTCCCAACTCAGTGTTGTTTGCACTACACCCCTCGGCCTCCCAATCTCTGGTCAATTAAGGTTTCTTTTCCCATGGGGCCTGCCAAAGGGTGGAACCGGTGCCACAGGCCGTCAGAGCGGATTGGCCTCCTCCGGGGACGGCGAAGACGTACATGGCTCCCTGGGACCGGTGTCGTCTAGGGCAGCTCTGGCTGCCTTGGACTTCAGCTCCAGGTTTCCGGCAGCCGCCTCCTCCCTCAGAAGTCCACTAGCGCGGCTGACGCCCCCGTCCTGTGGCCTCCCCAGCAGGGCCAGGGCTCTGGCGTTGTGTTCTGTTCTAGGTGCCCCCGGGACTCAGGAAGTGCTGTCAGTTGGCTGAGAAGTGAATTTTGAACCTCCAGGGGTTGTGAGTCAGTATTAAGAGCTTGAGAACAGGGATTATGGATGGCACTGGGCTGGGCACTGCCATTCTTTTATTTTTCTTCATGCATGTTGTTTTCAGATCCAGAATGAGTATTTCACCACTTTTTGCGACTCTGCCTGTTCCAAAACAGGAGGCAGATTGGGGTGACCTCTTCTGGTTACCCAAGCCCACCGCTAAAGTTCAGGTAAGCCAGGACAGAGAGCTGATCAGGAATGGCTTTTCCTCTTGACAGGCAGGGACGGAGGCCTTAAGACAGGAATGAGGGTCTTCTTTGAGAGGCAGCCCCAGGCACTCCAGGGGCTTCTCAAAGTGTGGCCATCGGACCCGTAGCATCACATTATGAACCTACTAGAAACATATCCTTGGGCCCAGTCTTGAATCAGAAATGGCAGCACCCAGCAGTCCTTTTGGATAAGCCCTCCAGTGCTCACGAAGCTGAAGATCTGAGGAGTGGGCCCGTAGGGGCACCGTAGGGGTTCCTGCTTTGACCGCCCCTACCGCCTCTGGGGGTGGGTCAGGTTGTCCTCCTCTCTGTGTGCCTCCTCCTTGCCTTGGGAGTCTGACGTGAACAGGTGAAGTTTCTTCATGAATTTTTTGTTGATGGTATGCTTGCTATTATGGCCAATATGTAAATGTTACTCTGAATCCATATTTATACGCCACGTTAGTGACATTACTCGAACATTACTTGTATGTGTATTTGTGAAGTTGTTGGCTTCAGTTATTTTTTAAAGAAAAATTTCAGCCTAAGTTTTCTAAGAGGTATGTTGAATAAATTTTTAAAATCCAGCTTAAGGGTCATGGCAGCCTTAGTTTTGGGGAAGACTCAATCTGAAGGAATAGGGTTCTGATGTACGTGGTCTCCACTTTCCACGGTGACTGACTCTGACGTCTAGGCTGCTTCACGCTGCGGGCGGACGACCCTCTGAGGTTGGTGAGGCTGAATTGGGACAGCAGACCCGCCGGCCCCTTCCACTCCTCACCCTCTTTCTCCTAAGGCCACCTCTCAAGAGGGTCCCTGGGATCTTTGAGAAACCAAACACAACAGCTTTGCTCTACTATGGAAATTCTGCAATCTTGGGAATCATTGCCAGCCTCAACTATGAGCTGCTTTTTAAAACATCAAGAGTGGAGTGGGGATGGGGCCGGTGGAAGCCTGGTTCTTACTTTACCCAAACTGTATGTATAAAGAATAAAGTTAGCAGAACGACACCAGTCACTGTGTTTTTTTATTTTTTCTTTTTTATTAATACCACATCAATTTGCAGTTTACAGGAACCAAGATTCAAGTTCCTTAGGTGCTACTGTATTTTCATGTTGCACGTACATACACGCACATTTTCATTAGTAATAGTTCATCTATAGGTTTTCCTTAAAAAAACAACAACAAAAAAAACCCCACGAAACTCCTGTGTGGCACAAAGATCTGTCCAATTACCTAAACACAGCAGTAAAACAAAAAAAGAGCTAGGTGTGGAGGCTTCCAGTGCAGAAAGGGTCCTCTGGAGGGGAAGCCCAAAAAGCTGATTAGAGCACTGTCTTTCTGGGAGGGCCTAAGATAGGATGCAGAATGTGTTTCCAACTGAAATCAGCTTAAAACTTAAAAAGGAAAGGGGGCTAAGTAAATTAAGAAAATGGAGTAAGGCAAGGGTACCTTTTACCCATCTAAATGCTGAAGTAACTTTTCCAAAACAGTAGAAAGAAAACTTCCACTACCTTCTAGAGAGTTGTAGTGCTTTGGGACCGTCAAAGACTGTAGCCCTTACTTTAAAGTCACCAACGCACGTTCCCTCTGGATTATCATGACTATGAGTTTTACAACCTGAAGGAACTCTCACAGATGACTTCTTTCAAGTTGACTGAATTTTCACCTTGGAAGGGGAGAAAAGACACTTGTCAGCCTCAGCAGGAATCAGATTCCCGGCGGCCCTCCATCTGATGTCCGTCTGGGTTCTGTTTATCTTTCAATCACACACGGAGCCCCATCGACATAATCTGCTCCTGCTTGGTCGCCCTCACCTAAAACTTCTTGGAAAACTCTCAAAAGGAGCACCTTGGGCCAAGACAGGTGCTGAGGCATTTCATGCGCCTGAAGATGAAAGGAACCCTCAACATGTGACACACACCCGTAAGCTAGCCTCAAAGTGAAAACTCTGTATGAACCACAGAACACACTTTCTTACACTAATTTGTGGTCTCTCAACCACAGACACATACACTCTCCTCTCAAGCCAGCTTGGCTTTGGCCCTTAGGGTACAGTGATGAGCACAGGTTAAAGATGTACCATGTGAAGGAGGAAGCTGTGGAGAAAAGACAAAAAGCAAAAAAGACCTTTTACGTTTCTAGATTCGCCTCTTGAGAATGTTTCCCCCCCATGGACTGAGACAGGATTACAGTAACTCAACAACTGAGGAGCCCACATGCGGATTATACTTTTTCTCTAACAAGTTTACAGCAGTGTACAGCAGTTACAGACATTTATTTCATAATAAGAAAAGTACAACCATATTTATTAAACTTGAGGTGAGGTGGGCAAGGAAGAGGGAGGAAAGCACATTCAGGAATGAGTTCTCAAACTAAAGCCCAGAACTGGTGCCCACGAGAATAGACACAGATGCCACCCTCCCAAATGGCAGAGACTTTCCTTTCCTAGGGGGGAGCGGGAGGGGAGGGTCGTCCCAGCCCCACCTTCCATTTCCGTTCTTGGTTCCCAGATGGCATTCTGGGAATCAGGAACTCTCACTATCACCTACAGGTTATTCATAGAGTTGGAAGCTATAGCATTACACAAAGAAGAGGAGTATTAGGAGTAGCTGCTCACATTGTGGGGCCGGAAGATGGGATCAGAGGTTCGCCAAAACCTATGGGAAGGAATCCCACTCCTGTCCCCCAGATAATTTCCTCATAAGTTAATCATTATTTCTTAACATAAAAATAAAGGTAAAACTCCGATGGGAAGCTGGGTAAGACTAGTCCTTGAGACCTGGATAGCAGAGTCCAAGAGCAGTGCTTTCTTTCATTTTTTCCTTGACCTCCAACCTCTCCCCTTTCAAGCTACAAGTAAAAGCTCCGCCACCATTAAGGTACGATTTATCCTATTAATTTGGCTCTTTCTTTATTCTTTTGGGTCCTAAGGTATCAGTTCTTTTTTTAGTCCAACATTCTTGTGCTTGATACTGAGGGTAACGGGAAAGGAGGGGAGAAAACAAATTAAGAAAAAGAAGCTTGGAATGCAGGCTCGAGCTGACACTGAGCGAGCGCGTTCCTTCATAGTACAGGTAATAACGTTATGACTATTAAGTGGTGTTTTAGTAACTGTTGCATTTCTGGTTTCCATGTACTTATTCTGCCTTTTTTTTTGCGATTCCAGGGAGTTTTGCTTGTATCCTATTGAAGGAAAAAAAAAAAAAGAAAAAGGTGAGAAAGGACATTAGTTTAGGTTTTTACTTTTAACAGTGACACCGAAAGACGGCCCTGGGTTTGCTGGAGAATGTGACACAATCTCTCATTTCCACAGGGCTTACTCTGGATGAAAAATGCGGGGCCGAGTCTGGTCTGGGATGAGCTGAGGGGTCCGCAAAGATTCATGTCCTCTCAATGCCGCCATGCCTGCGGCCTGTCCTCTTGCACTGCCTGCGTCTCCTGGGTCCTTCACTGGGGGTTCCAGAGAAGAATTAAGGGGATCTGGGCCTAACACCTGCTGTGTTCCACACACTGGCAGCGCAAGAGCCCATTTCTCCGGCAATGCTAGGTGACCCACTAGCGCTACAAAAGGAACCAGGAGTCAAGTGTCAAGGTGACAGGTAAAAAGACTACAGGAGCTGGCAACAGTTCCTGGCCCCTCGCTGGACACCAAAGCCACCCTTCATTTTGTGCATTAAGGTTACTCTTCACTAAGGTCATTCACATACCTCTCAGCCAATGTCAAAGCCACTCTTCACAATTAGATCCCACAACAGGGACTGACCAAGACATTAGATTTAAAGCTAAGCGACGTCTATTATTTCACAATCAGAAGTAAACAGCAACCAGATACATATTTGTGCTAACTGTCCTTGCCTGGTGTTAGCTCTAATGCATACGTGTAAAAGCAAAAGAGCAAGTAAAGACCCTGGCATCAAGCCAGAACTGTGTACATATATTCGTAGTTCCCGCTTACCAAAACTGGGAAAAGCACTAAAATTGGAGGTGTGAAAGGGACTGGGGCGGGGAAGGGGGTGCACAAAAGAGGTTTAGCTGCTTGTGTTCTAGTTCTTTTTTTTTTTTTTTTTAAATTTTATTTATTTGTCAGAGAGAGAGGGAGAGAGAGCAAGCACAGGCAGACAGAATGGCAGGCAGAGGCAGAGGGAGAAGCAGGCTCCCTGCCGAGCAAGGAGCCCAATGTGGGACTCGATCCCAGGACGCTGGGATCATGACCTGAGCCGAAGGCAGCTGCTTAACCAACTGAGCCACCCAGGCGTCCCTTGTGTTCTATTTCTTAAATGTCAACATTTTAGTTAGAAGTGTGGGTTCCTTAGTGTTTGCCATGATTGGGGGGAAAAAAAAAGCCCAAAACAAAAAACCCCCAATGGCTCCCTGGTAGAGGGAGTCATAAAAATGTCTATCAATAGTTTATTACTTGATTTCAATACTAAATTGGTTAAAAAAAAGGGGAGAGAAAACAGGGATTTGGTAGTTGAGGAAAAGCAGCATTGGCTTTGAGTCTTTTATTTAGTAAAACTCTTATTTCTGGGGATGCTTGGGTGGCTCAGCTGTTAAGTGTCTGCCTTTGGCTCAGGTCATGATCCCAGGGCCTGGGATCAAGCCCCACATCTGTCTCCCTGCTCAGCGGAAAGCCTGCTTCTCCCTCTCCCACTCCCCCTGCTTGTGTTCCCTCTCTCGATGTGTCTCCGTCAAATAAATAAATAAAATCTAAAAAACCAACCAACCAAATAAAAAACCCTCCAAAACCTCTTATTTATGAAAAAGGAGGGATGAGTTTGGTTTAAAATTGATTAATGTGGGCGGGTAGCTTCAGACACTTAAAAGGCCAAGTCAGGAAGGCAAAAGGTTCTAATTCCACAGTTCCTTTTTAATCTAAGATACAAAGAATGTTTTTTAAGGAAGCAGGATGAAATTATTTGTAGTAAAAATCAAGCTATTAACCAACATTTTTCTTCAGGATCAAGATTCCTTTCTTTGAGTCAGTATTTTATAGAGGAGGCTGAAAATAATTGGGGAAGAAAAGCACACATTCTGATAAAACGTGAACTAAAGTATACTTACTTTTCAACAATCGACTTGGTCTGATCACGGGCGATGCCAACATAGTGATCGATCTGGGTCTTTAAGGAAAGGGAAGAGACTCGGTTATGGCAACACACAGATTAACAATTTTCCTGAAAATAATGTTGTTATCTAGTTTAACCATTTCTTAAAAACACTATTGCATATTCTGGGAAATGAGAATAAGGTCAGTTTTTTAAAATTTATTATTATTTTTTATTTTAAGTAGGCTCCACACCCAGCACAGGGCTTGAACTCACAACCCTGATGATATCAAGAGTCAGATGCTCTATCAACTGAGTCTGGCAACTGCCCCAATAAAGCCCAGTTTTTAAGATTATTTTTAAAACTTCAGGTATTGGGGCATCTGGATGGCTCAGTTGATAAAGCATCTGCCTTCGGCTCGAGTCATGATCCCAGGACCCTGGGACTGAGCCCCACACATTAGGCTCACTGCTCAGCAGGAAGCCCACTTCTCTCTCTCCCCCAGTTTGTGCTCTCTCTAGTTATCTCTCTAATAAATAAAATCTTAAAAAACCAAAAAGCCCCCCTCCCCCAATTTCAGGCATTAGGGGTGCCTGGGTGGCTCAGTCAAGTCCTGATGTCAGCTCAGGGTTGTGAGTTCAAGCTCTGTGGTGGGCTCCACACTGGGTACGGAGCCCATAAACAAAACAAAACAAAACAAAACAAAACAAAACAAAACCCCCCAAAAACCTTTCAGGTTTCAGACTTTAAATTATGCCATAAACGCCTTATAATAGTCTGTTGAAGTAAAAATCTCTTGTTTCTTTTGCTAAGGTCTTACTTGCTAGGTATTTCCTTTACAGAGACTAAAGCATTTTCTAAATACTAAAAATTGTCTAATCTATATTCTGGAAACACAAATGTTGTTTTGGCTCCTAGGTAAGACTGATTCATTTAATATCAAAAGTTATAAATAAAGTCTGTTGATTGAGGACTTAATCTATAAAGAACCACCTCAGAGCATCTGGCAAGGCTGTACCATTCTACAAAGCAATCATCTCTTCACACAGATGGAGTCCCATAATAGCCTTGATAGTTTAAATTTCTTTTCAGACACCAGCTTTTATTTATTTAAGCATTTTTTCGACTTATTTTTTTGAACGGATAATGCATCCCCATGAACAACTTAAAAGACATACAACAAGTCATAAAAATGTACCTCCCTACCCTTCTCTCTCCTAAACATTCAGTTTCTCTCGGTACAGGAAATCACTACTTCTCACAGGCTCCTGACTCGCAAACTCAGACTGTAGAAATGGTTACAGAATGATCGCTCATGGGGTGCCTGAGTGGCTCAGTCAGTTAAGTGTCCTACACTTGGTTTCAGCTCAGGCTGTGAGATCTCAGGGTCGTGAGATCAAGCCGGGTGTGGAGCCTGCTAGGGATGCTCTCTCCTCTTCCCCCTGCCCCCTCCCACTTGTGCACTCTCTCTCTAAAATAAGTAAAGAAAGGAAGGAAGGAAGGGCGGGAGGGAGGGAGAGGAAAGGAAAAGAAAGAAAATGATCACTCCAAATGTTCAATAACGAAAAAATGGACTAAAGCTAGTCATACATCAACAGGCATATATGACTCAAAACAGGCAAGTGCTCACCTTGTACTTCTCATAGACAATGGGGACACTGAAAATGAGCAGTTCGGCTGTAAGAGAATCACAGGACACGGCAAGTGTACACGTGAGACAGTCAAAAAGACCCAAGATTCAAGTAACATACATTTTCCTCATGAAATACGGGGAAACACAGATCTTAAATATGAGAAATCCTACTTAGGGCTCGCAATTAAGGACGGTTAGCTATAGGAACACAGGCTTTCTTTGTATCACAAATAATTTCTAACTTATGAAAATGATTTCTGCAAGATCCCTATATTTAACACAAATGCAGGCAACTCTCCTTTACTTCTATTTTGACACTTCTTTATAGTTAGGAACTTTCAAAAATCCCACGGCCACAAACACAGGTTCTTCCAACATCTAATTCAGGGTTTATAGATGTTAAAGGCTAGGCCGCATGGAAGGAGTGGAGACATGCCAGGCATTCTCTTGGCTCTTACTTTTTACCAATTACAAATGACCGCTGAACATCATGGGGATTAGGAGCACGGATACCCCACACAGTCAAAAATCTGCACAGAACTTTTGACTCCCCTAAAACTTGGCCAGAAGTGTTACCAAGAACACAAACAGTTGATCAACACATTATTTTGTATGTATATTATATGCTGTATTCTTACTGTAAGGTAAGCTAGAGAAAAGAAAATGCTAGCCAGAAAATCCCAAGAGAAAATACATTTACAATACTGTACTGTAAAAAATCTGCGTATAAGTGGGATCCCACAGTTCAAAGCTGTGTTGTTCAAGGGCTAGCTGTACTTCCAAGAGCACGGAGACATTTTCCTTGTCGCCTTACCGAGAATCAGAAGGGTGATTCCATTGAAAACGGCACCAACATAGGTCATCAGCCACATGAAGACAGCCAGCTGCGAAAGCCAACATCAGAGGATTACGCAGGAACCATCATAATGCAAAATTTAGGTTAACTGATGCCATTCTCCCCTTGCCGATTAAGTCTGCATAAACTTAGGGACGTATGCCACACACAATTATAATGGCACAATGAAGGTTCTACCTCGTCTGCACCACACATTTGCAGGGTGCATCAGAGAATTCTGTAGTTCTCTGAAGCTCCGCGATAGACTGTGACTGTGTTTTGGTCGGTGATGTTGCCCCTGTTGGGAGGGTACTTAGTTCCATGGGTGCAGGAGATGTCTCTTCCTCTCCTGACTCCTACCCCCATTTTTCACAGGCTGGTTGAGAGAAGCATACACTTGTTTTTGTGTGATAAAACCCTATTTACTGGTTTTCCTCTGATTTATAACTTAGTCCCTGGCTGTCCTCAGCCTCACCACCAAAAGCTGTAGAAGCAACTGACCTTCAAGGAGTCAACCAAATCTTCCACCAGAAAGAGACGAATAATGAGTTTCAGGGCTCTGTTGATGCGCACCATGGCAGCATTCACGTAATTATGGAAAGCTTCGGAGGACAGAGTAATGTCTACATCCAGGTAGGCTCTTCCAGAAGAAGAAACAACAGTCATACACTTGACACGGAAGAAGAACATCTTTGCTAGTAGAGCAGTTATTTAGGGTGTGAAATTCCCCCAAGGGCACATTTAGAAATCTGTAGGAGCATTTTTCGCTGTCATGGGCTGGGGAGAGGGGACCATCGTCTTTCAGCAGACAGAGGCAAAGATGCCAGATGTCTGCAAAGTGTGGGGCAGTCATACACAATAAAGTAGTGTCCTATGCCCTGCATAAACTTTTACAGCCTCATAGGATATTCATTTATAATTATCAAAAGCCCAGAACATATAAAAACAAGGTATTTTCCCCAGTTTTAACATATCCTGAATTTTCTAAAAAGACTGTATTTTGTGTATGCTGAACTTTACTAAGATATTTTATACCACTTTGGAAAATCACATCTGTATTGGAGATTACACATCTAAGTGTAAGTATATAATGTCTCTATTGTTTTGTGTGTGTGTGTATAGTCATGTCCAAGCAGTTAAATATTGACTAGAATATGTATTATTTTATTATAAATGACCTTCCATCTTATCATTCCTTTATATTACAAGTATAGTCTATTTTTGAAATTTTGCTTATAGCTATCTATGAATTTCATTTCAAAACATTAAAAGAAGCATTACGAAATATTTGTTAGCGAAAGAAAAAAGAGGGTGGAGATACTGAGTTTGATAGGGTCGACAACTATAGAAAAAGACAAAGACTTGGATTCTGTTCACAGATGCACTAGAGAACTGAGATGTAAGCATGTGCTCATAACTAGTTCATTCACTCAGTACTTAGTGAGTGCCTACTGAGTATCAGACCCTCTGCCATGTGCTGGCATAGCAAGAAAGAAAAGGTTGCTTTTGCCTTAAAGAGCCTACAGTCTTACGGAAAAAACAGAAAAGGAACAGATATGCTTTCCTTTTCTATTTATTAAGAAAGTATTTACTACCTAATACAAAAGTTATAAAAAATAGATGCCATAATTTATACAACTTGACAAAACACATTTCATGATCCACAACAGTGTCCTGCAAAAGAGGAAAAATCCCAAGACCCCTGAGCTTGTGGCAAAAGTCATATTTATTCACTCAGTGAACAGCTACTGATTTGTTAAAATTAACTGGCGATAACTTTTTAAATGCCACATACAGTTTAAATTGTCTTCTATTTTCACCAAGAGAAAATTAAAAAAGGACCAGAGCTGCACCCAGACACTGATTCTGTCTTAGTCTTGAGAGGTCACAGAAGAGTTTCTCTCCCTATAAGAAAAAGGCTTTAAAAAAACTGCCATTTGCGAATATTAAAATTGTTCATGGGCTAAGATTTCCAAGAGGAAAAGTGTAAGGAAAACATTTGATAAAAGTTACAACACAGGGGGAGCGCCTGGGTGGCTCAGTGGGTTAAAGCCTCTGCCTTCGGCTCAGGTCATGATCCCAGGATCCTGGGATCGAGCCGCGCATCGGGCTCTCTGCTCAGCAGGGAGCTTGCTTCCTCCTCTCTCTCTGCCTGCTTCTCTGCCTACTTGTGATCTCTGTCAAAAAAATAAACAAAATCTTAAAAAAAAAAAAAGTTACAACACAGGGGCGCCTGGGTGGCTCAGTGGGTTAAGCTGCTATCTTTGGCTCAGGTCATGATCTCAGGGTCCTGGGATCGAGCCCTGCATTGGGCTCTTTGCTCAGCGGGGAGCCTGCTTCTCTCGCTCGCTCTCTCTTTCTGCCTGCCTCTCTGCCTACTTGTGATCCTTCTCTGTCAAATAAATAAATAAAATCTTAAAAAAAAAAAATAAAGTTACAACACAGAAAAGCTAGCAAGTAGATTCTAGAAATGCATGACCTACTGATCTCAAGACTTGCTCCTGGTAGTAAGAAAACTAAAGGGTGGCGGGGGAGGTTTAGAAAACTAAAGGAGAGATAAGAAGGAAATCAGTAATAAAACTAAGAGCAAACATATCAAATTCTGATATTGCCAAGAGCACAGCCTCAATACTGAGATTTCAAAGTTGTTTTAAGGTTTAACTATATGGGGGGGGCGGTCTGGGGGACGGGGTAGCTGGGTGTTGGATATTAAAGAGGGCATGTGATGTAATGAGCACTGGGTCTTATATAAGACTGATGGATCAATGAACTCTACCTCTGAAACTAATAATACACTGTATGTTAATTAACTGAATTTAAATTTAAAATGTTTAAAAAATCAAAACCCAAACCAAACCAAAACAAAAACAGTTAGCTATAATAGGGAACTTAAGCATGTCCTTGGGACCCCATCTAACTGGGTGCTGTCCTGGAGGCCCCGCTCAGGAGTTCAGGCAGTCTTCTTTGATATTAAAGTGTGAGCCCCTAGTTTGTCCAAAAGTATTTGGCTCCTAACTTGGTCACTTTTGAAGAGACAAGGTTTCTAGCTGACGGTTCCTGCGAGGGATCAGCTGCATTAGGCTAATTCTTCACTTAGTCCGGTTTGCTTGGCAGACCTGCCCGCCAGCCTCAGCAAACCCCTCCTCTAAACTGGCGAGTGTTACTTGTGATACTTCCACTCACTTGAACGGATGGCCCTCTTCTGATTTCTGTACAGCTTGGATGACAGACTTGTAGACCCTGAAGCTGATGGTGACAGAGAGAAGAGCCAGGATGAGGTAAGAAATCACACTGATGACACTGAAAGCTGCCAGGGAGAGCAGCATGATCAGTGTGGTGCCGAAGACAAAACCCGTCTTCTTCACATCTCGCCAGAAAATCAGATCGTGCACTGCCAAAAGAAAAGGGAACACAGGTTACACGGGAGCACGCGGCCAGGCCGGCTCTTGGACTGTGTCCTGCACACCCGAGAAGCATTACGCTAATGTAGTTACATAACACACAGTTCAGGTGCACCCCTCCTTAAGAGAATCTGATAAATGAAAATCAAACTGTAGGTCAGGAGTGAGGACTCATACTGCAAAAGGTTCCTGAGGTTTCTGTACAGGTTCACAAAAACTTAGAAACTTCTTTTTTTTAGAGATGGCTACTGAAGTATAATGGGATAAAATATCAATTTCTTGAAATGTTTCAACAGAAAGGGTAGAATAAGTGTGATAAACTCTTGTTAATGGTTGACTGAATGAAGCAAACCATGGCGACAAATTCATCTGGTCACTATAAAACCAAAGCTAAGGTATGTATAATAAATTGGGTGGGAGCAGAAGAGAGCGGTGGATAAAAAGAAACCCAACTCTATTCATGTTGGCTACAATGGAACCCCAGTCTCTCTGTTAATCTGAAGAGAACTCAGGAAGGACGGTGGGTAGGGAACTACATTATTATCTAAACCGCAATACCTCTGGAAATGAATGGGGACACTATTACTAATTGTTAGGAAATAGGTATAAATCAAGACTGTCTCAGACAAGTGGGTCTTGTGGTGAGGGACAGCCAGACTGGAAAAATCTAAGTTCTTCTACTTAAAGACTCAAGAACTGTGTGTAAAAGTTGCTAGTAATTACTATCAATCTAGCAACGACCCTGTATTTGAATTTCAATCTGTGAAGGTTATTAACTTCAACACAAATGGTCCTTTTGCAGTGTTCTTCTGTTCATAAAGAAGGGCAAGGGCTGGGGCGCCTGGGTGGCTCAGTGGGTTAAAGCCTCTGCCTTCAGCTCAGGTCATGATCTCAGGGTCCTGGGATCGAGCCCCGCATCGGGCTCTCTGCTCGGTGGCGAGCCTGCTTCCTCCTCTCTCCCTCTCTGCCTGCCTCTCTGCCTACTGATCTCTGTCTGTCAAATACATAAATAAAATCTTAAAAAAAAAAAAAAAATCTTAAGAAGGGCAAGGGCTTTAGAGCTGGAGAGACAGGAGTTTGAATCCTGGTTAATTTTTAGCCATATTGTCTTACATGACCATTCTAAAGCTTTGTTTTTTCTTTTGTAAAAGAAAGTAACACCTATTTCCTAGAGTTGTTTTTATAAGACACCAATGCAGTAGAATGCTTAGCACTGTAAGTGACCTGCAGTAAACACTCACATTTTAACTATCATCAAAATAGGACAGGTCTGTAAGACTGTGATTGAGGGTAAAATGAACTTGATTCTGTTCAAGTGGACCTGGCACCTAGATCTTCCCCATATTCCAACTACAATATTCACCCCTGAAGCCTAACCTTGCTATTGCCAACAGAGCCTAACTTGAAACTTTCACCCCGAAGGTACGCTGACCGTACAGAAGAAACAATCCTTGGCTGAGAGAGTCCAGCCAAGGGATGTGGCACTAGGAGAAGAGGCATTATGATTCCTGATGGGAATGCAAAGGAAGAGAGCTGGGAGGCAAATCAGGCTCACCTGATGGGACAGAAAGCTGAACAGAGTGCTGCCTTCTTAGGAGAGCAAATACTAAGCACGATTCCTACAGTCAGAGAGTCTTAAGTATATAGACGTCACAGCTCCTAAGACCACAAGCACAGTTTCAACACAGAATACTTCTGAATGGAACAGATAACTATGTGCCTCTTTGGTGTAATGCACCGAGGATACAACATCACTTCTGTGGTATTCTTGCCAATAATAAAGAACCAAGATCTAATAAAACACCAGAAAACCCAGACTGAGAAATTCACAACATGGATGGACGGAGAGGGTATAACCCTAGGTGAAATAAATCAAACAGAGACAAATACCCTATGATTTCATCCACATGTGGAAAGTAATAAACAAGTGAACAAAGGAAAGAGACAAACCCGACTTTTTTTTTTTTTAAGATTTTATTTATTTATTTGACAGACAGAGATCACAAGTAGGCAGAGAAGCAGGCAGAGAGAGAGGAGGAAGCAGGCTCCCCGCAGAGCAGAGAGCCCAATGCAGGGCTCGATCCCGGGACCCTGGGATCATGACCTGAGCCGAAGGCAGAGGCTTTAACCCACTGAGCCACCCAGGTGCCCCGACAAACCTAACTCTTAACTACAGGGAATACACTGTTGCTTGCCAGAGGGGAGGTGGGGAGGGGTGAAAAGGTGAAGGGGGTTTGGAGTGGGTACACTTACTGCGATGAGCGCCGAGTAATGCACAGCACTGCTGAACCATTACTCTACACACCCTGTATGCATAACACTGTACTTAATTATTCTTTAATAAAAAAATAGCAGAAAATAAAGGAGATAAAATTTGAGAACACATAAACGTCACGTGTGAGGATTACAGACTACACTGGATAAAGGAGTAAAAACGGCTGTAAAGGACACCACTGGGACACAGACAAAATCTGAACGTGGACTATGTAACTGATAAAAGCACAGGTGATCCTTCAACAACAGGTGCTTGAACCGCAGGGCTCATTTTCATGGATTTTTTCCCAATAAATACAGTATATAGTACTTGTAAATGTATTTTTTCTTCCTTTTGACTTTCATAATGACATCTTTTCTCTGGCTTATTCTGAGCATATAGTATACAGTGCACAGAACATACACAATGTGTGTTAGCTGACCGTTCACGTTAGCAGTAAGGCTTCTGGTTAACGGTATGCAATTAGTAGTTACATTTTGGGAGAATCAAAGTTATATGTGAATTTCTGACTACATGGCACTGTCTGTTACCATGATGTTCAAGGGTCAACTATATGGTACCAATATTAAACTTCCTAAATATATTAAGTGTACTGTGGCTATGTACATTCTTGAAAAAAATTCTTGCTCAAAAACGAAGACAGGGGTGCCTGGGTGTCTCAGTGGGTTAAGCCTCTGCCTTCGGCTCGGGTCCTGATCTCAAGGTCCTGGGATCGAGTCCCGCATCGGACTCTCTGCTCAGTGGGGAGCCTGCTTCCCCCCTTCTCTCTCTGCCTGCCTCTGCCTACTTGTGATCTGTCAAATAAATAAATAAAATCTTAAAAAACCAAAAAAACTAAAAATCCCCCCCAAAACGAAGACAAACACAAACACTCTAAAGTGGAAAGGGATGTGAAGGGGCAGGATGTTTGCAATCAGCTCTTAAACAGTTCAGGAAAAAACATGTATCAAGTGCCTGGGTGGCTCAGTCAGTTAAGTGTCTGCCTTCAGCTTGGGTCATGATCTCAGCGTCCTGGCTTCAGGCCCCATGTTGGGCTCCCTGCTCAGCCAGGAGTCTGCCAGTCCCTCTCCCTCTGCCGTGCTTGTGCTCTCTTCTGTCTTTCTCTCAAATAAATAAATGAAATCTTAAAAAAAAAAAAAGAAAGAAAAGAAAGAAAAAACACGTATCTATGGAGAGGAGGTGGGAGAAATAAAGCAAAAGTAGGCAAATGTTAACAACTGGTGAACTAGAATGAAGGTTATGTGGGAGTTTTTTGTACTATACTTGAAATTCTTTAAGTTTAAAATATTTGAAAGAAACACAGAAAAAAAAAAAAAAAGCTTACAGGGTAAGACTGGGGTCCAGAGAGAAAAAGACCTCAATGTATCAAAGAGAGGTAATGACACTAGCATACACGCGAATCTAGATTAGCAAAAGCCACCCTATCTTCATGAACCTTACTGCCATCTGCTGGAAGACCACTGGAAGAAACAGTGAAACCGACAGTGATAACATACTTGAATTGTGTCCCATAGAGGTGTGCAGTACACAACCTGCACAATAGTACAGAAGTCCCTAGGCTGAGCCTTAAAAATCAATGGTAGAGGGGCACCTGGGTGGCTCAGTGGGTTAAGCCTCTGCCTTCAGTTCGGGTCATGATCTCGGGGTCCTGGGATCGGGCTCCCTGCTCAGCGGGGAGCCTGCTTCCTCCTCTTTCTCTGCCTGTCTCTCTGCCTACTTATGATCTGTCAAATAAATAAAATCTTTTTAAAAAAACTCAATGGTAGGGGCGCCTGGGTGGCTCAGTGGGTTAAAGCTTCTGCCTTCGGCTCACGTCATGAAACCGGGGTCCTGGGATCGAGCCCCGCATCGGGCTCTCTGCTCGGCAGGGAGCCTGTTTCTTCCTCTCTCCTTGCCTGCCTCTCTGCCTACTTGTGATCTCTGTCTGCGAAATAAATTAAAAAAATCTTAAAACAAAACAAAAAACAAAAATCTCAATGGTAGAATTATGGTCTCTAGAAAAGGGGGACACTGATTAAAGGGGCTGTAACAGAGGGAAAGGAAAGGCTGGTTAACCCCTCAAACCTCGGGCTGGGAGGCTCTTCCTCCACAATGTCACATGACTTGTTCCTTCACCTCATTTGGGTCCTGGTTCAGGGGATACTGCTCTCGGACTGCCCATCCCACCGAACATACCCCTCCTTTGATCACGCTCCATTCTCCTTATTCTGCTTTATTTTTCTTTGATCTGCTGTTAAGTGCTTCAAGCATGGGCTAATTAACCACAGTCTGCATTCGTTTCCTCTCACAGAGGCCAAGGTTCTGCACCTGGAGCCCATCCAGTACAGTGGACCAATGATCTGAGTACGCGATACCATATGATACCAAAGAAAGGAACTTGGCACAGTCTGGAAGTGCTGTCCTCTGATTGTCAAGGGCAAGTTAGGAGGACAAAACACATGAAGAAAATGGCAAGGGGGCACCTGATGGCTCAGTCAATTAAGTGTCTCCTTTGGATCAGGTCATAATCCCAGGGTCCTGGGATGGAACCCCACATCAGGCTCCCTGATCAGCAGGAGCTGATGCTTCTCCTTCTCTCTCAAATAAATAAACAAAAATCTAAAAAAAAAAAAGAAAGAAAGAAAGAAAGAAAAAGGCAATAAAAGAGGCAGCTGCTGAAAGTTTAAAATGGTGAAGCCTCTAGACTTGGTTTTAGTGTTTGCTTCACAACCAGAA